GTTATTTTTGTTAGGCATTATGGAAGATTTGGATGTTAAAGAAATGAATTTGATGTTGAATCTTACAACAGCTGCAAGATTATTGGTAGCCCAATTTTGGAAGAAGGACTCTTTGCCCACTATAGAAGAATGGACGCTTAAAGTGTCAAATTTAGCAGAAATGGCTAAAATTTCCGCTTATTTGAAGGATCAATCACAATAAAGATACAGCTCGGTCTGGAGAAGATGGATAGATTATATTCAGAATAAATATGGGAGTAAAAATTTTCATTTGGGTTATGAGTAAACTCTAGAGTATTGTTATTATTAATAGTTTATTTTAATGGAATTTTTGTTAGTTTTAATTATATGATATTATTATTATTTTTAATATTAGTATTGTATTGTTTAATATTTAGGTTATGAATATGTTTATTATTGTGTTTAATTTTAATTTGTTTAAATTTGTGTTAAAAGGGAGTTAGAGCGCATTATGGACTTGGTTATTTTAATAGTTGGTTAATGCTAGATAGATTTTGATTATTATATTTGTAACCCTGTGCTCAGCTCTGGGAAGTGGGGGAGGGTGAGGGTGGGGTTTTGGGGTGGGTATGGGGGTTTATACTGTAATCTTCATAAAACTTTTAATAATAATAATAAAAAAGAACTCCTTTCTCCTATACCAGTGGTGGCGAACCTATGGCACGGGTGCCAGAGGCGGCATTCAGAGCCCTCTCTGTGGGCACGTTCGCCGTCGCCCCAGTCCTAGGCCTTCGGCTGGGTTTTATAAAACCTTTTTGCTTTAGGCCTCCGCCGCCATGTGCAAAAAAAAAAAAGGTTCAACCAGTCAATTTCAACTTCTCGCGGGAAAAAAAAGAACTTGCAAAGTTGGAATTGATTGATTGAACGTTTTAGTCCCACCCAGTCTGCCGTTACCACCGCAGCCATGCTTATCCAATGGGCCAAGCCCACCCGGCACTCGACGATGCATAAATGGGCTTTGGGTTGCAGTTTGGGCACTCAGTCTCTAAAAGATTCGCCATCACTGCCCTATACCAACTTTCTTTGTGCTGGCCAAGTGCCATACCTGCTCAAGGACGACAATACAACGGGAGGCAATTCCCAAATCACAGGAGAAAAGGATATAGAGGGGGAAGAAGCCCAGCATTGCAGTGTGGCAGAGCAGCACCAGCACCACCAAGGTGACTGTCAAGAGGTTGGGGAACCTGGTGATCTTCAAGCAGCCTGACCATATTTGCAGGGCCTGGTAGGGCACAAATAAGGTGTAGAGGAACATGCAGAGCCAGGCAAAGAGTGCTGTGGGGAGTTGTTGAAAGCCATTGATAATGAGATCGAAATCCAAAACAAGACTGTGGAAGACAAAGAAGAAAAGGAGCTCTAAGGATGTTGCCCAAAAGATAAGGATGTTTCAAATTAAAATAAGCACCCCAAGTGACCCATGCCTCTCTGCCTCTACTGCAACCCCTTGAACTTTCTCTGGGGCATCCCCAATATTCAGTGGTACAATTGCTAAAAAGTGAAGAGGATGGGCCCTGCTATTTTGAGGAGGTAAACCCATGAAAGTTTCAATGAACTCTTCAAAATAGACAGATCAGAGTTGGAATGAAGGAATATCCCCTTCCCCAAATAAAAGAATTATGATCAGTCTCTCTCATTTTGTTTCATAATCTTGTTTGGTTTCATAATCTTGGTTTCATAATCTTCACCCTAAAATATTGGATCCACAAAAAAGGTTCCCAGCACAATTTCAATGAATCTGAACTTGGCTCTCTGTCTTCTGTTGGGCTCCTTCCTTGATCTGCTTCATGCTGCAGCTTCAACAGAACTGCAGAAGATTTCAAGGCATTGCCTGTCATGGACATTGCCTTCTCCTTCTTTTCCTTTGATGATTTATTTCATTTGTAAGGCTTCTCAATTAAAAATGGCTCTTGGCAGCATATAACATTAAAAACAGATAAACACTGCAATGAGCAGAAGACGATAGCAGAATATGTTGAATTTGAGGGAGCCTCCTCATTTCAAGAAATGGGCTAGGGGCTGGAATAATGGCCAGAACCCGGTTTTTAGTAGGCAGATGGAGACTGGATCAAAGACCTTATGTTTTCCCAGGAGTGAAAGCAAATACCCATGTCCCAGGTAATGTTGCAGGATCCAATCAGGGTAGGTCACCAGGACCAGAGATTTAGTCTTTCAAGTTTCAGACTCATTCTGGAGCCTATCCTCAGGGATCTTCTCTCTCACCAGGATGCGTGTTTGTGTTTTTTCCCATGTCTTTCAAGGTGTGTCACTCTGTTGGGTTGAACATATTGTTTGGTTTGTCTGAGACCAGCATTGCCGATATTTTTTGCCTCATGACATGTTTTTCTGGCTCTTCCATCTCTACTCCGTTGAATATAGGGTCTATTGGCGCTATGATCTCTTAGTGAGGCATCTCTGTCATGTTCCAGTGAGAGAGAAAATTTCCCTGAGGATGGGCTCCAGAATGAGACCAAAAGCTTGGAAGACGAAAACTCTGGTCCTGGTGACCGACCCTGATTGGATCCTTATGTCTTCCTTTCCTATAGCTACTAGATCTGGACTACAAAAATCCATCTGAGACCTAGGTGGCACAGAGAAATATTTGTATATCATTCTGCCGTCATCACATGGCCATCTGGGTTTTTGCAGATCCCATCCTCTCTGAAAAGATTAGTTTCCTTCATGTAATCTCTTTCACTGTTCCTAATTTCTATATTTTTCCATTCCTGATTACTTTAAAGTCAATCGGTCAATTAATCAATTTATTGACCACTGGTCAAATGGAATGGAATATAGTACAAATACAAATCATGTCAACAAATGGCAGATGCATACTATGTGACTCAACACATATGTTCAGCCACAAACACCGGTACAGAAAGATCCAAAAGGTAACAAGTTTCATTCAGAATGAGGGTAGAAGAAGTGAACTACATAAACAGGCTACTAGGATAGAGAACGGTGTTTGGATGCCTAGTAAAGGTGGCACCAAAGGGGCGTTCCTCATTTAGACTTATGAATTTCTAGGCAGGCATAGGAGGGTCCCAAGGGATACTGCTCAACAAGAGTGCAAAGACAAGGAGAAGAACAAATTCCATTTCCTTTGTAGCAAGTAGATGAACAGGGACACATGGGAGGAGAAGCAGCAGGGTCAGGGGACTCACAGAAGGTTGCCAAACCTTTGATGGAATCTAAGTTCAAAAGATTAGGTAAACATGTTCTTAAGATAATTTCTTTGTCCCTTAGCACAAAACAAATAGCACCCTATCCCCACATTCACCCCAGCATTAGCATAAATCAGAGGATAGCCCTTCAACCACCACCCGCCCTCTCTTCTGGATCATACCGTCCTTCGTCGATGGAATCCCCAATGATTTGTTTGAGGACAAAGATACAGAGCATGGCCACAAATATGTGATGGATTGTGCAGAAATGTTCCACCTCCATGAACGTGCTGTAAAAGAGAGACAAGTTGCCAGCAAGTAAGCAATAGATGGTGGGTGAAATGGGTAGCTGAAGATCATTGGACAAAACCTGAGATACCAAAAGATTTTAATCTGGCCTTCTGTGCAAAAGCTTGCAGTTTCACTTGTATATGAGAAACAACAATCAAGTGGCTGGGGAAAAATGTTCCCTCTCGTGTTGTGTATAGGTAGTCCTCAATCTATGACCACAATTGAGCCCTAGGACCAAGCAGGAAACTCACTCCTGCTGAGACTACAAACAGCCTTATTCTAATATGCTAGTAATCACTCTTTGTACTATCATGCTAGCCCGCTAATCAACCTAATCCTTTAAAACATACTTCATTCCATTTCCAATCCATAGTATCTATTCTTTGTATACTCTCCCTGCACCCACCAGTCTCAGCATTGTGCGGCTATGGAGCATGCTCAGTCCTTATTGGGCTGTTTCCAGCTCTTGTTCTTCATCAACAGTGGAATATCAGTTATTTGCCCCAGGTCACCTTTGGAACCTGAGGCCTTAGAGATCTGACTACTTTGCCCATTGTCCCTCTGACTAAGTCTCATTCATACCATGGCCAGGTATACTTACTCATACAATGACTGTTGAGGGACAAAGACTTTCTTCTTCAGTAGCTGACCTTTCTCTCTGCAAAATAAGATTTCAAAGCAGGTAATATTTAATATATTTCTCAAAACCCTTCTCATCTCTGAGTAAGGGGGGGTAAAGGTAAAAGAGTCCCTGCAATTATTACTCCACTAGTCATTGCTGATTCATCTCCATTTCAAGGCCATTGAGCCAGTGCTGTCCAAAGACATTTGTGCGGTCATGTGGCCAGAATGACAGCTCGGAGGGCTGTTACCTTCCCAATGAAATGGTACCTATTTATCTACTCACATTTACATGCTTTCGAACTGCTAGGTTGGCAGGAGCTGGGGCAAGTAACAGGAGCTCATTCCCAGGTGTCAAACTCGCAACATCACGTGACATGTCGCAACATATCACGACTTTTTTCCCATTTCCAGCAATGGGGTGTGCGCGGTCTCAGCATGACGCATCCGGCCCAAGGGCCTGCAGTTTGACTTCCCTGTTATAGGCCAATAAAATTTCTGGATGACTCTATTTTTCCCATCCCTGTTCTAAAATCAATTGTGAGGAATCTCTTCACCTGCTTTGCTTCTTTGCTGGGGCCACCCTCAAATGCCAGGGTATGGAATGAGCTGCTTCTTCCAAGGTCTTGTCCAAGAGATCACTCAGCTGATTGTGTACCTGTTCCAGGACATTCGCCTTCATTACCTATCAACAAAACAGAGGGAATTTTATGATGCCCGGTCTGTCAAGATAGATTCCTAGAATGTATTTAGGTGATGGGAACATTGGTTGGCTTGATATATCTGTATATCTCCCAGGTTTTTTTTTCTTGTCCTTGTGGCTAAATTGGCATTATCTGGAATGTGTTGTATGACATTATTTCATACGGTCTCCTATTCCAGAGTGTCCAACACACTTACTGCTTCCAATGCTCTCTTCTTCCAATGCCTGATGTAAAGCCTTTCCCATGCTGCATTTAGACAACATTTTTCTCTCTCTTTATCATATTCCAGTCCATGAGTGAAACAGCATTGCTGCATTGGTGTTAGATAATGTCCAGACTATGGAGAAGGGAGGGTTTGGAAGTGGCCTAGTAGAATTAGAGCTTTCCCCAAAGCTGGGCTGAAGTGGTCTCCTCCCACCCAAATAGCCGCCAAGGCAATGGGTGAGAAAGCCAAGGTGATTTTGTACATCTTGAGGCATTAGCTTTAGGGAAAGCCCCATTTCTACGATTCCATTGCTAAACCCTCCCTATACACCCTGAACTATTCTTGGAGAAGGCTGCAAACTTTGAAAAGCTAAGACCCAAGAGAACAACCAGCAGCTGTCTCTCAACTGAATTACTGCCTGTTCCTCTATGACAAGGATAGAGATCATGTGGCCCTGGAGACACAGAATCAGCCATTTTAATCATCCTTGACTATTCATCATTTAGGATGGAATATTTGTTTCTCCAGTGCTAGCATTGGCTTTTATTATTACCTATTATAATAGCTATTATTACCTCCAGGTGTCTCTTCCATTGGCTGTGGGCAATGACATTCTCCAGGTGTTCATCCTCTCCTAGAGAATTAGAAACAGCTTCACTTTAAAAACATGGTTTGACATTGGGCGAATGGAGGAGGTCAGTTCATTGTTTGGATTAGAAATCTTCTCATTGTAGAGAGGTTTTTTTGTTTATAAATTACTACCTCCGAATTTCAAGCACTTGTTTCCCCACTCTTCCCATTCTCTTTCCTTTGGGGTGGATAAAGCAGGTCCAAAACTATCTGTACCAGGCTTCTGAAATATTTTATATGGCATGTTTTATTCAGTTTTGTAGCCTTTTCTTAAAGCAGATTTCCAGACTATAATAACATCTTTTAACCAGCAGATCTGGAAGGCTGTTTATCCTAGAATTCTATTTTGCTTAATTACAAAATAAAATAGCCTATAACATTATCATATCATTCTAGTAGAGGTGAAGGAAGGAATATTGCCAGTACCTCTGATAGATTTATTAGAGTTTAGCACAGGTAGTCTTCAACTTACAACCATTCATTTAGTGATTGTTTGAAGTTACTGAAGGACTGAATAAAATGTGACCTGTGACCAGTTTCCACACTTACGACCATTGCAGCATCCCCATGGTCACAGGATTAAAATTCGGATGTTTAGCAGCTGACATGTATTTGTGACGGTGTATCTTCATGCATAACTCTTGATCTTTTTTGTCATAATTTTCCATGTAATTTCTTTTTTTTTTAAAGAAAATTTCTATTGGTTTTCTAATTTTACATTTAATATTTGAAAAGCAATGTGGTGGCTGAGTTGGTCAATAATTCAATAACATACAAATATCTTTAGTACAGATCTCAAACTATTACATTAAATGTTTCCTCTCTTTTCCCCTTGGTATTTACTGTCTCATATTTAAATTAATACAATTCTTATTATATCGATTAAATAAAAAATAACTATCTTACATTTATCAATAATTTTTAGTTTATACATATCCTAGTTGTTTTAACATTCAATCTTTTAGACAATCAATGTCCTGGTTAATTTTTCCCAATTTTTAGTTTCCCATTAATATTTAAATTTAACATTTAATAGTTATAATTTCCAAGTTTTAAATAGTCCCAATTCCCTTTATCACAATTCATCACAAAATCTAATGTTCAGGATACACATCTTATCTATTTGAGTTCTCACCATCTTACATCAACTAATTAATAATACAATATAATATTCTTATTTTCTAGTAATTTCCAAATATCTTAAATTCAGTGACCAAAATTTCTCTTATTTCAACATTTAATATTTCCTCTCTTTTTCTCTCAATATCTACTATCTCATATTTAAGCTAATAATTTTTGTTATTATCGCTAAGTAAAACATATTTATTACATTCATCAATAGATTTTTGGCTTATATATATCTTAATTACCTTTACATTTAACCTTTATAAGCAAATCAGTGTTCAAATTTAACTGTTAATATTTATACTTCTAAGTTTTAAACTACCAAAGTTTTCTTCTTCTTTTTTTCCAAACAATTTCATTGGTTTTTCTATTTTTGCACCAAGAAGTTAAGAACCAATGTGGAGATAGGGTAATTAGTTGAATACAATAACATCATAAATATACGGCTCAAATAATACTTCTTAAAATTTTCCTCTCTATCAATTAACATAATATAGTCAAATTAATACATTTCTAAATAAAATTTCATTCGTTAATACATTCCTAAATAAAAATTCCATTAATCAATAAAAGTTATCAGCAACCCCTTACCTATGTAAATCAAATTCCTGTTTTCAGCTATTATTAATTTCCAAATACCATATCCAACCTAGCCTTAAACAGACATATTATTTACCATTTGGATGTCCCAAACTTATCTTATTTAAACATATTATTTCCATCATTACGTACATTCTTACATTTCTTAACTATATTCTCTTTCTTATTCAGTAATTCTTCATTTGTTAATTTCATCTCTTCCATTATTGCAATCTTTTTCTCATTATAGCTCCACAAATTAATTATCATACCTAATAATAAAAAAACCTAAGAAAATAGAAAAAATAGTAAAAAAAAGACAGAAACAGACCAAGCAGAAGAAAGAGAAAAGAAGGAAGATCCATTATTCCAAAGAGTGTATTCTTACTATATTTCAATACTAAATTCAAAATCTTATCCTAATAACACCTCTTAAAAATCCAAATCCAAATCAATCCGCATCTCTAGAAAGGCTTTGCAACCCATAACTGTAATCTTAAATTCCATATTTATATCTTATTCTAGCTTTCTTTCTATTCCAATCAGGTTTTCATAATAAAGACTCTAGATCCGCAAATAAGTCCATCTCTAGCCGGAATACGTAAACCAAAGGAAAGTCTCCCATTGTCCATTTTAATAGGCTAGTAACAAAGTTGTAGCGATTCTTGATAGTTTGTAATTGGACCTCAATCCCCATCCTTTTTGAAGCTGCGTATACCGTAGTTTAATTGCAGTCACTTTGGAATAATCCAAAATCTGAATGGATTGTATATAAGATAATGTATAATCCTCTTTAATGTTATTTTGTTCTTCTTCTGTTGATTTTTTATCTGTCAGGAAATCACCTTCTGGGGTAACATCCTTAGTTTCTGTGCTAAAAATCATTTGTTCATTAGCATCAAAGGTTTTTTCCAATGTAGGTTGATAATCCAGATGTGAATTTAATTCCTCCATCTCAGTGAGTTGTAAGCAAAATTGAGAACAGGTCTCTTAGGTATATATCCCCTCTACTGTTTCTTGGCCTGCAAAGTTCTCACTTACACCTTGTGCTTTAATTTGTCGTTGAAAAATAATCTCTTTTGTACAGGCAACTATTAGCTCAGTATTTTCAAGAATTTTATCCAATATATACTTGTAATCCAAGTCTAGGTAGGGTTCCTCCATTTCAGTAATGTTTAGAGCCATTATTCTTTTGCCAGCTGCACAGCTTCTTTATATTTTCCTTTTTGTGATAATTTGAAGGTCAAAGTCAAACTCAAGAGTCCAAGAAAAGGAAATAATGATTGCAGTTGGTAGTTTCATTACAGGATGTCCCCAGAGGGTTGTCCAAAGTTATTCAGTCTTTCCAAACCCCCAGTAAAAATAATTTCTTTCCTTTTTTCCCCTTTTCCTTCTTTTCTTTAATTAAAAAAATAGTGAAAAGTAAAAGAAAGCAATATTCTCCAAATAACTAGCACATTAAGTCTCTAATTCAGGAAATTTTGGAACCCCCAAAACTAAAAAGTAGAAATTAATTTTTCTTTTGTTCCAAAGCTTTTCTTCCCCCATCAACAACACCACTTTAACAAAATAGGGAAATAGTTCCAAAAAAGCTTTTTACAGGAGTAAATAGGGAAAGTAGAGGCAAGGAAAGGTCTCACCGAATGTTCCATGGTGGTTCTATGTCGCTTAGATGTTCTTGTGGCTTACGGCTGGTGCAGGTAAGTAATCGACCATTTTACTGACTGATCTTTACTCTGTCGGCCCAAAGCATTTGGGGGGACACCACTGATCTCTCTAGTAAAGTAATATAAAACTTTTTGCTGTAGCTCCCAAAATGCTAATCTCTGGATAGTACTGCCTAATTCCAAGACCAATTGAAAATCCCCAGATAATTTATCTGTAGCAAAGATTTCCCTTCCATTTGTGCAACAAAATATATCATCCGTTCCCTGAAATGCCTCCTTACCATTGAGTAATTGTGTTTCCTCTTCTCTCCTGGTCTGCTCCTGAGAGCTTCTTTGCCTCATGCCTCCAGTGCTCATTTCCTTTGGGTCCATGGTGGTTCTGAAT